GAAAAGGGATAATAGCCATTGTTGCTTCATATCCCACAAAAAAACTAACTGTTAAACGAGAAAATAATGCTGTTGTGTTTTAAGATATCCGACAAATCTAAATCGTAAATTTTGTCAAAAATTGACGAATTAATTTTACTTTTTTTATTTTATAGCCCATCTTATTAATTTTATAAAAATACCAAGTTTTTTTTTATTTTCCACTTGCTAGTACAAAACCTACAACCGTTTTAGTAAAAGCAGATACCACAACGTTAAACACGATATAAAACTTTCAAATGAATTTTTTTCCAAATATGCTTTTTAGAAAAAGCTCTAACCGAACAGCGATTACTCAAAGGTTTTTAAAATGATTAACTGAACATTTTGTGTAGTTTATGTATAAAATTATAAGTGGTTTAACCTTCAGATTTATTAATCAGTGTCTTATTACAATATTTACGTACCTTAATTGAACATAATCACAGTTTTTTAAGTAATTTCGTATAACAACTATGATAAAGTGCTCTAGTTTTTGTAAAAATGAAAATATCTCTTATCCTAAACGTCATTTCAAAAATGAATAACAATGTAATACATCAAAATTCGAAAGTTGAAAATTAGTTCATAAACTTTTTGTACAAAAGTATACCCCGTTTATGTATTTTTTTGTAAAATTTCCCCCATTTTAGTATTAATAATTTCTTTTTCTCTTCTTAATTTTAGCATTTTTTTTCTTAAAATGTACTAAATAAATCTAAATATCACAAAAAGACTCCCATATCTCCATTTTTTTTAAAGTTGTCGCAAGTAGTCGGATACTTTAAATGTGTATTGTATTTCTGTTTTAAAATTTAAATGTTTAACAGGACCTGACTTTTCAGGGAGCACTAATATTCTCTGTTACGATACTTGTTACGGTCATGATCTCCTCATACTGGTGCAACAAATAATCCCATCGTGTAGTAGGAGTAAAAGCACGTTAAATATAACGAGGCAGAATGTGATGTTATAGTTAGAAGAGTTGGGTTCAATTTCAGGTGCCATCCTTATGTCTTGGCTAGAGATAAAATTTACAGCATCTGTCACCAAAAGCCTTTGTGTTGCATTTAAATAAAGCGTAAATATTACTATTTTTTGTAAATCGTTAATTATATGCAGATTTGGGGGGGATCTACCATACAAACTATCTAATGAGCAAATAAAATGAACAAAGATGTTGTGGTATACTTTTATTATTTTTTCTATTATCGATCTAACTGATTAAGTGCATAATAAACATTTTAAATTTTCTGATTCCGTCTGTGTCACTTTTTATCATATTGGAGGTTGCGACGGCCACTGACCGTAGAACTTCGACAAATACTTTTGAGGAATTTTTTTTCAACTGTGATTTTTGCTTAAAAACCGATTTTCACTGACATGACTTAATTTTATGCTAATGTAAGTGCTATTTAAACCCTTTCAGTGGGATGTTTAAGGTTAATCGTGAAATCTCGGAGGAGTAGAAACAGATTTGTGACTAAGGAAGTCGTGTGGTCTGAAGTTAATATCAATCTTTGTATCCACCCGGAGCAGTATAAAGAAATATTGGTGAATTTTGCAAGGACTAGATTTGGCATCCACTGGAAGTTGCGGAAGGAAATACACTACTGGCCGCCGTAAATGCAACACCAAGAAATACAAGAGATAGCACAAAAAATTTATTTTGTAGATAACATGTTGACCAAGTATCAAACGATTAAATTTATAGAATTCTGTGAAGTGTGGTTCCTGCCAGAATCAGTAGCCAAAGTAGCCGCCATTGTTGGAGATCACCACTGACACACGCCTCGGCATTGTTTCAAAGAGACTTTGGATGTGTTCTTGGGGTACAGCATACCAAACTTCTTCCACACGTTGCCAAATTTGATCTGGTGTTGCAACTGGGGGGTGTAATCTGGGTCAATCGTTGAGCAACCATGGACCACATGTTTTCTAACGGAGAAAGATCCGAAGAACGAGCCGGCCATGGAAGCAATTCAATCTGGTGTTTCACGACGTGCATTTGGACACTGCGTGCCACGTGTGGTCGCGCATTTTCCTGTTGAAATATGGCTGTGTCCAAGCCCTGAAGGTAAAGAAGGACTACTAATGGCTCCAATAACTCGGAGATGTAGCGCTGGCTGTTTAAAGTACTGGCAATGTGTACTAGAGGAGTGCGATAGTGATATACAATACCAGCCCATACCATAATACCCAGGGCATAACGCAGCTGTGGTGCATAACGCAGCTGTTTAGCATCCTCTCTCCACGGTGTCTCCAGACTCAAATCCGACCATCGTGTTGTTGCAGACAGATGCGTGACTCATCAGTAAAGACAACTTCATTGCATTCTGCCGTCCACATCCTTCTTTCATCGCACCATTGGCGGCGGAGACATCTGTGGTTCTGCGTCAAGGGTAGATCAAGCATTGGACGTCTTGTGGATAGACCACTCTGCTGTAAACGGTGTCGAATGGTACGCGCATACACTGAATGATGCGTTACAGACTCAATGTGCTGTGCTATGGTTCGTGATGTGACTGAGCGATCCGTCACTGCCATGCGCACAATTTGCCTGTCCTCACTTGAAGTGGTGCACTGAGGTGGATGCGATCGACCGCGTAGGTCTGTCGTACCCTCCTGCATCCAACGGTCGCATATCCGCATTACAGTTGTTTGGTTTCGTCCAACACGACCACCGATTTCCCTGAAAAATCATCCGCTATCTCGGTAGGCGAGTATCCTTCCTCTGTCGAACTCGGATACTTGATCTAAAGCTCATCGGTTTTTTCTACGAGACATAACTGATCGTTTTTTTGAAAAACCACAAGAAAAACACAATTGCCGAACTTGAAATCGTCGAAATCTCCAAGCCTTAAATAGTGCTTTGAGTTTTCGCCACAGATTCGCCTGATGTGTGTCTGCACTAAAATTCCAATCATTTGCATATCTCACCTCCGCTAATGCATGTTGTAAATTTCATGTTATTTGCGTGCTTCCTTCAGGGTGTTGCATTTACGGTGGCCAGCAGTGCATTTTTGAAGCTGTATCCAGTTGTCGTTGTTCCAGAAGTATTCGCATACGGAACTACGACCAAAGTAAAGTCTGTTTGAACAATTTTTTAAGCTAGATTAAAAATTTGGATTTTTTTTTATTGCTATTAAGATAAGGGGGGGGGATTAAGTTGTAAATCTTTAATAAATGCTACATTTTAAATAAAAATAACTATTTTTAGAATGAAGTTTGCTTCTTCTCCAGAACATTTTACACCTGTAACTTTCGGGTGGTGAAAAGGTATCGATGAAACTTAGATTTTTGATTAAAATAACACATGAGAAAAATGCCGGTTCTGTGCCTACTTAAAACTCTTGTTAATATTTTTTAAAAATCCAAACAAATAAAGTTTTATTTTGCTATATAAGTCTGTTAAACTACTTAAGGTTATTTATTAGAGAGGGAGTAATATTCATTCTGTTGCTTAGTTCAAATAATGGAACTATATTTCTGTTGATTTTTACTCTCCAAATCCACAAAAAAAGAGTTAACAGTACATGTCACTCAGTCGAGAATCAAAATCCTCACGATGAAGTCTTGTAAAAATTTAAAAAAGTACACATCTGTATTCAGATGTATTTCTCCTCTTTTGACCAGGTTTAAAATTTACTAGGATTATTATTGAGAAGCCTCGTGTGTATGGTTTCATAGCTCAACAGAAGTGATTTGTCTTTTTTTAATTCTATTTATTATGCAGTGAGATTTCTTAAGCTCATCTGCTCTGCTTCATTTTATTAATTATCCGTAATTTCATTACCAAGAATTTATTCCCTCGAAGATTTCTCCAATACATATACAGTAGAACGTCGTTTATCCGAACGTTTATTATCTGAAGCGTCACATATCCGAACCAAAGTCCGGATACGTTTTCGAACAGAGCAATGTTCAATAGTTGTTTCGTGCGAGGCCGAAAGTGACGGGAAAACCCGAGGTGAGGGATATTTGAGGAATTTAAGCAGTATGATTTGGTTAACATCTGCGTGGAATATTAGGTCAGTTTTTTTAAGTAAAGGGTTGTATACGGGATCTTTTGAACAGTTTTGTTTATGTAGAAACCTGGATGTCATAGATGCAGAAGACTGTGGATTTCAAATGCTAAATGAAGACGAGATTGTGACTTCCGTGCAAGGAGTATCTAACCCTGTCGACGATGAAACGGATAAAGACAACAGCAATGAAAGTGGAAATAATTCATAAAATTCTGGCCCCTTTTTCTGCATCAGAGACAGCTGTGGAGTGGTACAAACAACAATAACAGTGCTGTCCTTCTCAACTACTGCTGATGAAGAGAATGAGAGAACTTGCATAAAAAAAAGGTGCATAATGGGACAATAGCGAAAAATAAGTGATTATTTTCCCCAACAAAGATAAAACTGCGACATTTTGCACCTATTTTGCTTTTCCTTCAAGCACGTTTCCCGTATGTGATGATTTTCAATATTTGTATAGTGTTCAGTATTACATACTGCATGGATCGCATTCGGTTTTTCCTGTTATTCGAACAATCGCGTATCCAAACGGTGTCCGGTCCCAATTGATTCGGATAAACAACGTTCTACTGTACTAGGGTTTTCTTTCATCAATGAGATAGAAAATGTATTGCGTTAAAATAAATATACGAATAATTCTTTCACTTCTAACATTTTATAATATAAAAGCAGTGTTGTTTATTCTATAAATTTTATTTTATTTGATATTGGAATGCTTGTGGACAATGGTACATTAAACAAGAATTTTGATTTGAAATTTAGTTATATTCATTTTCAATTTGAATTAAAAAAAAGGAAAATGTTCAATTATTCTGAAATAAATTTTATATGATGAAAGAGTGTGAATCAGAGTTGTATATAAAATAAAATTTCAATTAACTGAAGTAATTGTGTCGTTGCAATTAGCAACGAAAAGAAATCCAATGCTAGTATACCTTATCTTAAAAAAAAAGTGTTCAGGAGTAGGAATCGAACCTACACTCAGGACAGTGAATCGGATAACCACCACGTTTGCACACTCTTTGGATGCAGGACAACTTTTCGGACAGGGTTTTTATGATAAAGGATCCATTCTTTGCCATCTTGTAGTGGCTTTTGACATTGCCGATTGTCAAGCGGTCTACTGTCATGTGAAATGCGTCGATATTTAACGACATTTTTTTCCACTTTTTTTTTAATAGTTGTGGCCGCTTTAAAATTTGTTATCCTTCAATACCTCATGAACTGAAACCAAATGGCGGCTGCAATTTGGAAACGATGCAGAAATCCGATGCCATAACAACTCGGCCATCCTGAACGCCACTTGCTTACTTGTATTTTCTTTTCTCTTTCTCTCTTTCTCTCTCTCTCCAACGCTTTCTTCTGCTAATATTCTTGAAAAATATATGTCTCTAAATTTGATTCTAATTCTCATTATTAATGCTACTTTCGGATATTCTTCCAAAAAATGTTTATATTCTGTGTATTAATATTGAAAGCGTAAATTATTATTATGCAAAACACAAATTTATTTCTTTCAAGCTATAAAATAATATTTTATACATACATATGTTTACTTGTTGAATCAGCTTACGATATTACATTAAAACAAGCCTTTCGTGAGTGTTAACCACCCGCTTTGCTGGATATTTCATGATGTTAGATGAATACATACTGTTTGTATATATATAACTTTTTGAAATTTAGCATTAAGAATTTGGTTGTACTGAAAATATTCTTATAATTCTTGATTTAAAAAGGTCAGAGCTTCCAAATAATTATTTCTAAAATTGAATTAGAATTATCTTTTACTGTCTCTGCTAATCAACTCTCCAGTGGATATCTTCAAAAACCATTTTTAATTGATAATTACTCAATAAAATAAATATGATCGCCAAATTTCGTGTCTAAATCTAATAGAGCAAGAACGAAATTTTTAAACTCCATAACCATCTTTGAGAGTTGATTTCTGCAAGACACTTTCAACAAACACTTTCAATTAAACAGCAGAGACATACATACCAAATTTAAGCTGCTGTATATTTAAAGTTATTAATTACACGTTAGATATATGCGTTGCGGTATCTAAATAAACCTGTAACATCCTCCGGACTGGCATGACCACTTTTGTCTAGTGGTCTGTTACGTGCTTACGATTCCATAGGTAGTGGTACTAATCTTCGACGAATGAATACTGCCGTACAAAGGATCTCATTATCTGTTATTTCAACGACTTTTCTACATTTTCGCAATGCTATTTTACGCTCACTGATACTACTTTCCTTTCTCTTAATTTCCACGTCCTTGAATTGATTTGTATCTTACAAAAACGTACAAGTTATTGCGCGTCATAGCTTTCTCAAGCTATTCTACTTGACATCTAAATGCATAAACTACGTTAACCTGTAACACTATTTGATAAAAATTCCAGGAATCAAAAATATGCAAATAGTGAACGCACACTTTTCTGCCTACCATTTGTGTGCTTTGCTATAAAACTCCCTTTTCCTTACGTAGTTTTAAGGTATCCGGCTACCCTAAAATTGTGAATTTTGCCAAAAATTGAAATTTTTTTTATGATTTTATTTTGTAGGCCACCTTATGAGCTTTATAAAAATACTAAGTTTATTATTTTCCGTTCATTAAAATTAAAACTACAAATGTTTTTATTAAAAGCAGATGCTTTTCTGTAACCAAGATATTTTATACTTTAAAACGCGTTTTACACGCGCGAAATGTATTTTTTTTACTCAAAGGGTAATACTCAAACTCAACTCAATATACTCAAACGGGCCCAGCGATTGCTAAAAAAGTTTTGAAAATAATTAACTGAATTTTTTTGTGTATGTTTTGAATAATAGTAGAAATGTTTTAACCTTCAGATTTATTTATCACTCTTTCATTAAAAAATGTACAGTCCCTTATGTGAATATACTACACTGTTATATTAAGAAATTTCATATAATAACTAAGATAAAATACTCTAGCTTTTGTAAAAGTTAAAATATCTCTTATCCGGAAGGTCATTTCAAAAATTAACAACATAGCAACACATCAAATCGAAAACTTTGGTACAGAATCAATTGTTCATAAACTTTTGGTTCAGAATGGGCTACGTTTATGTTAGTTTTTGGAAATTTTTAAGCATTTTTTCCCATTTTTGTAATAATAATTTCTTTTTACCTCCTTAATTTTTGCATAATTTTCGTAAAATGTGCTAAACAAATCTAAGAACCACAAAAAATTCCTCATATCTCCATTTTTTCAAAAAAAAGTTTTCGCAAGTAGTCGGTTACCTTAATTCAAAATAACGGAATTCTTGCACGCACAATATTTAAGTAATAGTAAGCAAATTAATGAAATTTTACTAGAAAAAAATTATACTTCCCATAATGTATGATTTGTGTGTTTTGGCTGAATGCAGATTTTTTCTAGCAAGTGTATGTCTATCTATTGTCAGAAAATTCTCATGTAGAAGAAACAAAGAAAATAACCTAATGGTGTGATTATCTCTAATTGATAGAAAACATGTAAGAAAAAATAATAAGGCTACATACAAGTTCCAAATCAATTTCTTATTTCTACCCCTATTTTTTTATTTTTTCAGTGGTCTTTTTAAAAACTTCCTATTTAGTTTCTAACAAAGTAGCTCTTTGTAATGATTTACTGAAGTATGTGATACCCTAAAAATATTTGGTTTAGATACATTTTAGGAGTAGAAAACAATGTAGAAACAACATAAATATGGGGAAAACGCTCTCTTATACACATTTCTGATCATCTCTTCTGAGATTCTATGCACTATAGATAAAACTCTAGGACGAATACAGCAACAAAGAACTATTGAAAGCTTACAGAAACATTTCAAGCTTAATCCATATACTTAAAAAAAAACGTAGAAAGCCACGCGCTAGAAGTGAAACTTCTTTGGTGACGTTGGCCGTAAATGCAGGAATACATCTAATTATATTAAACTGCTGAGAGAACTTACTTTATCAAATAAAATTCGAACTTCATTTATTGTATGAAAATATTTTTATTCAATTTTCTGCATCATCATTTTCCAAGAAAGAAACAATAGGTGTGTGTGGTAACTGAGGTGGGATATAAAAATCCTCGATTGTAGTCAATCAAGAAAATGTGAGAAAACTGCATTAATCGTGGTTCCGTATACTGTTTTTCCTTCTCTAGAATCAGTAATCATTGCCAAATTCAGTGTCTGTTTCAAGAATTCAATGAGGGGCTTTGCTTCTTCTGAAGCAAAATTAACATTAAAGTCGCCAAATCAGATAATCGGCTTTTAATCATCATCGGACCCAATGATTGCAGCAGTCTCTGATGAGTACAGCACTAAAATTTTATGGATAAAGATGATAAAAGCTGCGATAGAACTATCTGAAGATATATAGACTTTCGCCTGGACTTGCTGCCACTTTTCTTTTTTTTTCTTTCCTTTCACGAAACTTTTTTTTTACTTTTTGCATTTGTTCTAGGCATTCTGTCGAGAGTTAATTTTAACTCAATGGAAATAAAAATTAATAATATAAACAATGCATTACTCACAGAAACCACTGTGTTTGTTTACAAGACGCTATCCGTAATGATTCTGGCGTTAACGTTAGTGACATATACACAATGTCCCAGACACTTCCGTAACGGGAAGAGCGATATAATGTTAATACTTTGGGTGCGTTTATTCGTTGAAAAAGGCACGTTTTTTTATTACCATAAAAACTACGAAAATACGCCTCACGAGTTCGTTACGAGTAGCATACTCACTTAACATCTCCAATATCTAAGCGCCTTCAGTCCAAATATAAGATGCCCCATTCCCTACTGCCTTAGCAATCATCCAACTTTTTCACGGATATGACGTAAGTCCCTTGGTGAACACCCCTCCCCCGCTCGCTATCTCCTCCCTATGACGACGTTTCGGGGGGATGGGAGGGAATCACTACTTCCGTTCGCTTTTTCACTGTTACGCAAAACTGGGCAAATTTCCCATTCACTCCGTGAGCAAAGAAGTCTTACTTCAACAAGTATTCTGTGTTAAACGTTTGTTAGAATCTATGCATCAATGCTATTGTCCAGTGCCTATCACACTCAACTCAGCATAGTTCTATCAAGTTTTTTGACAGAACATCACGTTGGTCTTTTACATAAAATCAAGCATTTGTACCCCTGTGCCAGGTGATATAGCAGAACTGAATGAAAGGATAACATGTACTGTTTAAAACGTTGATAGTACCATTTTGCATTCAGCGAGGCAGGATCAGGACAATCACTTTGATGTATTATGTATAACTACGGTTTGAGGCAAGGAACACGTGCAAACTATTTAAATGAAACTTGAATTGTTTCCTTGCGTGTGTGATTACTAACGCTTTTTTTTTCTGTATTCGTCTTAATTTTTTTTACTATAGTGCTTAGAAACCCGTAATCGGAATACGAATAACCATGTAGCAATAAAAATTGATACTACAATCTTCCTCCTCTTTTGCTTCATAACATTGTTAACCATTAAATATTCACCACATTGCTTTCGGCAGAAGAACATAAATGTAAAAAAAAAAATAATATTAATTACTCTTAAGAAAGAAAGAAAAAAACGTTTTCACATATTCTGTGTAGTAAATTTTAAAATACGTGTAGTAAATTTTTGTTGCTAACAAATATATGGAATAAAACATTGTATTTATGTTCGTGAAACATTTGTTTTTTTTTATTTTTAACCCTACACAACACTTGCTACTACGTTTAAAATGTCACAAATTCTACCTTCAGATAAAGTAATATATAAAATCAGAGAATAACTTAAGCATTTTAAGGTTTATATATTGAAATTCCTACTCAATATACAGTTCAACTGAACGCATTCCATGGTGCTCATAGTTATGACGTTATTTGCCGGACACTTTTCATCACGTCCGTGCACAGAGCCTTCCAAGAACTCAATTTTCCCTAGGGTGGTCGAAGCAACGGGAGAATTTCATCTTAATACCAAATAAATTCCTAGAGGATGGCATTAAGTGGAATAAGTTCAATTAAGTTTGTGTATGTACACAGCGCAGAATTCTTGAACAACATAAAAACAAGTAGATTAACAAGAGACAGAAACACTTCCTTATGAGCCTTTTTACTCTATTTCTTTCTTACTTTTCTTTTTTTTCCGTAGGGATTCTTTGATAAAAGAAGTCATGGAGTGATGCAGAAAATAGAAGTTGTAAAGATTTGTCGATCTGATGATTATTTTTTTATTCTATTTTTAGTTTGGATTCCTATTGGCTTTCTAGAACTGTTGTTGAAGTTAACCCTTTA